GTGCATAGGGAGATTTCCCACCACGTCGCAGTCGCCTTCTGACCACGCGTATCCTGCAGCCAACTAACACGACTGTTATTCCCGCAATGCATAAACCTGCAACAAGAAGTACTCAATTCTAAAAGTTTGTGACGATGGTGCGTTGTTGAAGTAAAAGTTTTCTGGATATTTTCCATCGTCTAATAATTAAAATCACAAAATCCACGACGTTTTGGAGATGGGACTCTATGTCCATCTTCAGGTAGACCTACTCAGTTGGGCCCAATCAATAGAAATAATCCCTATCTCTGAAACATCATGGATTTTATGGTTTTATTTATTAAACGATGGAAAATATCCAGAAAACTGTTTACTTCAGTGGTGCAGATGGAGACAAATGTATCTGAAATTTGTGATAGACAGAAATGCAGTAGACAAATGTTGCAGTTCAAAAGGACGTTGTACTGTTGATTCTTATTTTGAAGATCCCAGTAATGAACCTTGTCCCTTGGTTTTATTCAGTACCTTAAATAAGCAACGACCGTTTACGTCCCACATATCTCCAAATTCCTGTTTCATTTCATCCTACCATTTAACATAATATAACCTAAGCAAGTGATAAAGCATCATTAAATAAACCAAGATGTAAAGAAAAAGTTCAGGGGACAACTTCTGATATCCATTTTCCTTTAAATGCTTCGTCTGAGTGGACAGGCTAACAAACTCTGAAAGCTAATAATTATAAAAGTCTGTCGTCGATATTTTTACACTTTATTCTTGATCACTTCGAGAAATTAAAGTTGACTCTGTTTAATGGATTAGATGTTTCATAAGTATATTAAAAAATAACATGTTACGTGTACAAAATTTCATAAATTATTATATTTGTTGCTTAGGTTATTTAATAATGCTCTTCCATCTACTCAGGTTGTATAGTGCTGAATCTGAATTATTAATTAAAATTTCTGACACATGAATCATAATTTCTGAAAAGTGTGTGAACTTTTACTGAGCAGGTTAATGCAGCAGTAATGGTCCCTGTATTTGGAAAGTACAGCTGGGGAAATGAGATTTATCATCATTTTTCTCAGTATCTTGAGATAAATGCAGGGATATCATGTTCAAATGGGCCAAACCATCATCTTTCAAATCCTTCCAATATTCATTACTCGCAATCATCTTCCCAGTTCATTTTATGTTATGTAACATTTGTATTTACAGCTTCGCTAAACATACCAGGAATTAGTCGTGAATAAATTAGTGATGCGGTACCATCCGTAGATTCCATGTCTGTTTTTCTGAGTATGAAATGGAACTTACCTAGAGCAAGGGAAAGAATGGCACCACTAGGTCTTCCTGGGTCTTCTGTTTCTGAAGAAGCTTCACTTAAGTTAACTTCTTCCATGTTTACTACAACTTTATGGGTCTTCTTGAGGTGTGAATTGTGTTTCTTGGAAGCCTCTGTTACTGTAAAGAACACAAGATCAATCAATGAAATATGACCGTCTTAATTACAGACTTAAGATGAAAGTAAAATGTAAAACTGCGTTTGTTATTATTATTATTATTTATTATTGACTGCAAATGGGTTTATACCCGGTGGCAGTGACCTACAATAAGATACAAAACAATGAGACACAACAGAACAATGAGATTCATCAACACAATGAGACAGAACAAAACAATAAAAAAAGACAACAAAAACAATAAGACACAAAAAAAACCACTCAAAATCAACCAACTCATAAATTACAAAACCATCCAACCTAAAGTACTTAACTTAAAAAAAAAATGAATATGATTTCTTATGAAATTTACAGAATTCATATGGTAAAGTCCCGGTCATGAAAACTAGCAATGGCTGGAGGTTCGTCGTGCTGACCACACGTCACCCTGTATCTGGTTGGATGATCGTTCACCTCTGCTTAGGCATGTGAACGTGAAGCCAGCAGCCAGCTAGTCGGCTTTGGCTCTCAGAAGGCTGTTACGCCACGGATATGGTAAAGTCTGACACATTATTAAAACTTGACACAGAACAGAGATGAGTGGTTAGCACTGCATTCTGAATTATATCAAATTTAAATGATTAGCAATTATTCTTTTTTTTGTCAGGTAGTCTTGATTTTGATTATCAACTGGCTTTTTTCACCGATGTTTTTCATGACTTTCATTTACATTCCAGTCGGATGCTAATACTGCTTTAAATAGGTGATGACCACTTCCTTCCCAATTCATCTTCGATAGTCGTCTTCCTATTCACGGTTATGTAACCAGTTCTGTCAGTTTTTATGTGTTTGTTAGTAATAATCCTACGCAGCTTAATTATTTAGGATAACACATCTCTGATCAACGAAGGCGTATGGAAATAGAATTACAACAGAAATAACACACGTCACTGTAAAGGTTACTTTGAAATATGGCGGTAAGGCGATGGTATGTGGGGAAAAACACACGAAAAGACTGACAGAAACATAAATGAGGTTTTTTACAAGATTGCACCACTGAAAAAAAATACATGGATCAGGAGGGTATTAAAGTTCTAAATGTTATCAGTGGAAATGAAGGATACCAAAAATCTGTCTACAATTCATATTCAGAATGAAGACAAGTATAATACTATGTTGTTGTTTTTGTTGTCAACATCATCATTCCTATCATTATCTTTGTTATTGTTTTCATCATCAACATCATTATTATTGTTATTATAGACACTTAAATACAAGTTGGAGTGAAGAAATTCTGGACGATTGTTATTATAGACACTTAAATACAAGTCAGATTGAAGAAATTCTGGACGCACAAGGGAACAACTCAGTCTCCAATAACTAGAGGGTTTAATGAAGATAATTAACCTTTATCATGAGAATAAGGGATTTAGAATCCCACACTTGGGGCTGATGGTTGGATTTAACTGCGGATTTTATGGTTTAGTGATGCATGGGCCATTGAAGGCAGGTTCATGATGATGGTGATTAATCTCTCTTGCCCATCTATACAGATGGTAACAGGAATGTAGGGAATCGTCTCATGCAGACGTAAGACAATTGGAACATGTGGAAAGTGAACTTGTTATATCTTTCTTTATAAGGGCGGGACAAAATACAGTACAAACTTAATATAACAAAAATATTGCTCGTCTGCTACCAAAGTACCATATACTCATGGAAAGATATTTCACAGTCATGAACACTCATATAACAGAATTTCAGTATGAAGTGAAGCCAATTTAAAAAAAACAAATTTTGAAAGCGTTAATCCGTCCAAACATGTTAATCCTGTATCAGCAAGTGAAACAATGTTTCAGAATTACAAAATACTACTGTTTCTTCACAGATGCTTAATTAAACTTGCATTAAATGTCGCAAGCATATGAATCACTATATGTACCGTAGTCTGGATGTCAGTTGAGAAAAAAATATGATGAAAACATTCTAATGACAGTCTTTCCTAGGAGCAAAGTACATCATAAAAACCTTTTTGACTCCTGCAATTTCGTTAGTTTGCAATGTAGTGACATGTTACGATAGTGTATCAATTATGGATTCTGTGAATGTACAGTCTAGTGACTGATAATAAAATTGGCGACAATCAAGTATCTGATAGTAAAGGGCGAGCAACTCCAATTGTCAGTGGGTGGAATGATGTGAAAATCTGGCTCCTGGGGCACAGATAATACTAATTTATATGAACTTCAGCCTCAAAGGATGAAGACTCACCTTCTGTCTTTACTGTTGTCACTTCACTGGAGGAATTTTTCTGTGATTCCACAACATTAACATCAACTGAATCTTTTCTCTTTGGTATGGTAGAAAGATCTTCTTCCAAGTTTGCTTCCAGAGAAGTGTGGAATTTGTGTGTAGGGTGATGTTCTTTGGCCTGAAACAGCAGCAGGTGAAGTTAGAAAGCTCTGCCTTTATGGTTAACATACTTTTTACATCTGTATCCAAAGTTACGAAATAACAGTAAATACGTAAATTCGACGGCAGATGATTAGAGACCACGCAGGCCTAAATACACAGAAATTATTTTATCTTGATTCTAGCCAAGTCCTGAGGAGTAACGTAGTGGTAAACGTGTTGATTGGGCAAGCTGAAAGTCTCTGGTTTATGGGCACTTGAGTGTACCATGAGAACATTTTCTGGTTTATTAATTTATATCCTCTTTCCTGAGATAACTCATGGACTTATTCCTGTTCCTTGAGACAGTTGCCTTGGCCTATGGGCTGGCTTGTAGACACTTATCTCCCTTGCCATATATTTTGCATGTTTCGTTTTCGTGCAGATTAACTGTCCTCCTACGATACCTTTATCGGCGTCGCCCTATCAACAGCGTTGTCCTGCTCTTCTTGCACTGGGTGGTTATGGAGTAGCTGGTGATGGCCTTCTGACCCATGGACATGAGGTGCATGAAACCTTCCCTCCTGGCTATCTTCGTAATAGTAATCAGGGGGTATGGGCTGTGCACTGTACCGCCCTTGCATTACATCCAGACCAACTTTGACATTCCTTTCATTGTCATTCAGTTGTTGAGGTATGTCATTTGCAGGCATTGAGTTCAGATCTGGGTGCAAAGAAAGTACAAGTAAGTTATTTGTTATAACAAATCAATGTTAAATCTAAAGTAATAGAATCTAGTTTATTAATGCAAGTACTAAAGCTGGGTTGAAAAGTCTCTCTACCTTAATGCATAATTGAACTTCATGTGGTTCAAGTTATTCTCACAAAGCTCTGGTGAACAAATTATGGCAGTATAACTATGACATCATTACCTAATTCCAAAATGCACAGAATGTCTGAGACTGTATCACAATTTAGGAGGTTAGATACTGGCTTGTCGCTGTGGAGACCTGTGTTCAATCCCAGGTGACTTCGAGCGAGATTTGTGGTAGATGAAGTAGCCCTGAAGCAGGCTTTTCTCTGTTTCCCCACTGACCAAGCAGCACGTTACTATACTCTTGAGTCCTGCATTATGGGATTCATCTCTGACGTGACACTTCTCCGGTCTTGGAGTAAAGTAAAGCTGTACCACTACGAGGTGTTTCGGGTAGAGGGGTGGCATAGTTCCAACACATTGACCTTAGCATTAGTTGGGGGTGAGTGGTCAGCATCATGCCCTGGCCACATTTTCCCCCCAGGGAAAGGACCCCCAGTACCCAATGGATAGGAGGTTAGGTGGACCTCAGGGCTGGTATGGATAGAGGTGAGAAGAAAAATCCTTTGCTCCTGCAGTCTTGGAGTAAAGGTAGCTTTTTCATGTAAATTAGGCATCAAAAACTAAAAGGAAGATACGCTGGCTAAATTGTTGGCGGAAGTCTCTTCTTCAGTGGGCCATTTTCAAACGGCAGGCAAGAAAAATTTCAAGGAAATTACGTGGCTTGCATTTAACCACGGCATTGGTTTAGAAATATGTGGGGTTATTGTCTTCTTGCCCAGTATTACTTTTTCCTTGGGTCTGGCCATGATAAGTGAAAACGATATGCAAATGACTATGATTATATGTCCATATATTTGGAAATCATTACCCACTGATGTTTCTACCAGGCTGGGGACATCTCATGACAAATAAATGAAATTTTGATATATATGATTTATTTAACATCCTCATTTTTTGTACTCTCAGAGAAATACTAATGCGATCCTCGCAAATCGAAGCCCATACTACCGCATCCAATTTTAACAACTTCTCTTCTAATGTTTATACTTGCAGATGTTACCTCATCACAAGGTTTTGTAGGAATTTTATCTCTGCACATGTATAAAGTTAAAATAGAATATGAACCAATATTACTTTCATTGATTAGGCACACATACCTTGTACAGGCATCTGATGTTGTGGAGGCTGCCATTTTGCTGCTGGTGGCCTGTATGGACCGTTATTGTAGTAACTGTTCGGGCCATTACTGCCATATTTATACTCATTATGCAGCATTTCATTATACTGAGCAGCAGGACTGATGAAAAAATTGAACAATTTGAGTATTACATCAACTGTGACATATCAGGTACAAATATATCAGTTGTCACAGTAAAACAATGCCACTCGACAATTCTGACAAATTATAAGCAGGCATCATATATGCACACGCGCGCACATACATAATGTGTATACACACGAACTGTCCTGATCCCCATTTTTTCATATAGCATAAAAAATAAGGGCTCTTATGAAACTTGTTTAAAGGTATATGAGGTTTTTTTTATGAAATTTAAGTGTGTTATACACTTTTATAAAAAAGTGCCATTTTTTGCATTTTGAAGGTTTACTTTCTGATAAAAGATTATTATAAAGAATAGCCTCATTTCAGTTACATCTGAGTATAGGCATCTTTGCTTTATTTATTAAGTTCAATGTAATTTTTACAGTCACTGTCTTCAGAACATATCTCCTAAAGGAAATACATATATAACATTAATATTTGTTTTTATCTTTAAACCTATTATAGTAACAGAATATACAAAAATATTCTTAGGCCTTTGTGTTATGTGGTAATCCATATTTGCCACATTTGTGTTTAAACTAAAATCACCTTATTAATTTTTGTAAGAACTCAATCTCTCCCATGCACACTACATGCACTGCCCATCTCATCCTCCTTGATTTTATCCTGGTAATAATATTTGGAGGGGAGTACAAGTTATGGAGCTGTTCAATTCTCTCCATCCTCTCCATCGATTCATCCCTATTGCATTCAAATATTATCTTCGGCTCCCCGTTTTGAAATGCCTTGAGTTTTATGTAGTCAGACTGTGTACCAGTGAAAATATTCATAATTGGATCACTCAGATTTTTAATTATTAATCTTTACTATTTGAAAAAAGGAGATTTAAATCTGTGTACTTTGGGTCTGCCAGTTAGACTTTAGCTCTGGAGATGGACTGCATATAAGCCACAACATAATCAGTAACATTAATGTATGGAATATGTACTGACAGATAATACTGAAAGGAAGTTTGTGCGCTATTTTTATACATTACACCATCAAGCAATGTTGAAATGCATTTGCTGTTTTCTTATTGATCTTATAGGCAAATATTACTCCTACAAAGCCCAAATATTTGGTTGACATCAATGAAACTTTGTTTTAAGTTAAACATTGTGTAAGTTATTTGTTTAATGAAGATATCCGTCTTCTGGGTTATTGAATATTCTTCGCCCTGACGACGGAGGCAGTATGACCTCTGAAACGTTGGTAAACATCAACCAGACTACACAGCGCAACAACCCAGAAGACGGAAATCTTCATACTCTGATGACGGAGGCAGTATGACCTCTGAAACGTTGGTTAACATCGACCAGACTACACAGCGCAACAACCCAGAAGACAGAAATCTTCATACTCATCGCCCTGATGATGGAGGCAGCATGACCTCTGAAACGTTGGTTAACATCGACCAGACTACATAGCGCAATAACCCAGAAGACGGATATCTTCATACTCACTGCTGTGAGAACCTCAAGTCTTACATATTTGTTTAATACTTGTGTATGTTTTGAACCAAGGACAAAACCATAATAATTTATTTAATTTGCTCGGTTCCTTAAAATATAGGCCCTACTTAAAAACTACATAACATTATGTTATAGTGCATTCCAAAATTTTTGTCATTCAAAAGTATAAATTGAAGTAAGGAATACAAACATTTAAAGCCAAGCAAAAAAAGAACAGTCTTACTGATTTTCTGCTCAAGTAGTGAATGCAGATTATGCAGATTGGTTTATGACTACTAAAATGCAGTAGAATCTTTCTGGTATCTACATATGTACAGTTTAACTCATTCAAGTCAGAATAAAAGTAAATAGAATCTTGCTATGGAAATATAAATTGTGCTGTGGAAAGTAACAAGAGAACTTTCTATAATGGGGAACATACTTTGTCTCAGGAGTACAAATGTACATACAATTATTTTAAGCTTATTGAGCGTTAAACACTGGATTTTCCCATTTGATGATCTGGCATTCATCTGAATACAATGAGAAGGGGCATGAACAATCTGTCAAGGCAGCTAGTAATCCTGGTAAGATTTTAACTGGTGACCTCCTGAGTACAAGTCAAGAGTAAATACTGTTACATAAACTTGCTTGGTGAATAAATGGAAAAGCACAAATGTGCTGTTACTTTTACAAATTCCAGGGTGCTAAATTTTCAGCAATATAAAATTCTAAAAAATCTTTAGCTCCCAAGTTATTGACTTCTTAGTTCTGTATGACATAGTTGGCCCTTGTTTGGTAAGTGCACTTTCCTTCTGCAATCATTTTTGTTCTCTCCAAAATAAAATATTAATTAGTTAACACGCTAGTTCCATTGCACTCTGGCCTACACTGCTTCAAACATTCAGTTTCTCCCAGTAAAGCAGAAACTGAAACTGTTGCGTGGGAGTAGCATAGACCTCTGTTTTGGATAAAAACTCTCTCAGTGACTTAAAGAGGAGTGGAAACACATTTTTAAAGAACATTAGGATATCATACAGTGAGTTCTTTCAATCGTGGGGAGATATTGCACAAATTTTTGTGATCCAGCTTTACTCCCAGGGAAAGAACCCTGAACAGGACACCAGGTGGCCCCAGAGCTAAACTGCTTCATTGTGGCGAAAGGAAAAACCCTACCCTGTCAGGAATCAAACCCTGGACATAAATTCCATAGCCTAGTCACTTAACTGATTGAATTATTGACATACAATTTTTGGAATAGTAGTTCTTAATACAGATTGCATAAGTGTAATATTTATGGCAGTAAGTATTCTTTAGGACAGGATACCAATTTACATACTGGAATATTACCAAGAGTCTGTGATATTTAAATGAGAAATTTAGGTGTTTCTTTATCTCACCTCATGCATTCCTTTCTATACTATCATGAAAAAGTTTATTATTATTTTGATTATAGAGATTGTAATAACCTCTTATGTCAGGGGTTACCAGCCTTTCAGGATCTGAGGGCCACATTCACCCTTTCTTATCAATTTGTAGGCTGATGGATTATAAAAGAGAACAATGAATTGAAATTCATTAAATTTACTAAAATGTTACGAACTTATTATAGCAAAGAGGTTCATATATTATTTAATAACTATCTTCATCAAAATCAATCACTGAAATAGTTGGCATGTGTGCGAATTATTTATATTTCTAAATCAGGTTTAAATTTCGTTGTTACATTTCACATGCGTCTCATTAGTAAGTTGCATTCAATGTCTAGGTCTGATAATCTGAATCACCCATGATTCCATCACGTGGCGAGCTCTCCTCACCTAAGAATACCTGATGACCTGAGCAGACCAGACTGGAGTGGACATAGTGTGCTGGGCCACAATCATTTCTACAGAATTTTATTTTCTTCTTCAAAGGCAAGCAGAGTGGAAGGAATGTGCACCGTCCATTTAGGTTCCTACACTCTGAGAGCTCAAATAGGAAAATCCCAAATATATTTGTCATTCACAACTGTATACCAGGATTGGCTTTGCTTTGGAATGAAACCTGCCTCCAGTGTATGATTTTATAGTAGGAATTAGTAATTCTTCAGGTAAATTATCACTAGATATCACAAACGTTGGGAACTTGATATCGGTAACCTGTAGCCCATAAGTCAAATCTGACCAGTTATGTTAAAAATGGATGCCCTTGTATGTCTATTCAGTTTTCTCACTTCATATATTTTCCCCAGGCCATCCAACCAGCAACCTCCACTAAAAGAAGAACTTTACCACCACCTCTTTCCTGACCACTCGGTGACCTTCAGAACCCTCCGGTCACTCAAAGATGTCTTCCATCACCTCTTCTCCTAACCACATGGTTGACGAAAGCTATTTGCATTCCCTCTTTTCCTAATTATGTGGATGCTCGAACTTTTATTCATATCTTCTCCTACCGATCACATGATCTAAGATTTATCAGATTTCTGACATTTTTGTTTGATTGTTCCCAAGTTTATTTAATTATACATAATTTGTGTGACACAGAATGAAAGGATAACTGAAATTTGTCTAGAATGGGAACAGAAGCTGTCATCCCTATTTTAAGAAACCATCGTAACATTTTCCTGAATGATTTATGAAAACCACAGAAAACCTCACTCAGAAAAAATTAAATCCTGGGACCTTGCAAATATGAGCCACGTGACTGCAGCGTTCAGCCATGTTGAGTGGAGTGAGGGGTGAAATAGAAAATACTAGGAAATTAGTGCTCAGTAGCATTCTTCAAGGTCACCCACTAGTTCATTGGTAAAGGTGTTAAATTAAAGTCTGAGTGATGTGAGCAGAATAGAAGAAATAACCTTAGTCACGATAGCCATCACAGCCATCCATGCAGAAACCTTTGAGGTTTCGATGACCTTCTGGGTTGTGCTGTGTGCCAGTGTTTAAGAGAAATGTACCGCCTCTGTCTCGTGAGGGAACACAGGCAAAATACAGCATCATCAATGCTTTTCATGTTAATCTGAACAAATTTACACATTGAGGCAGGTTTCACTGCATGATGGATACCTATGTACACTCATCTAAAGCTTGGACAGAGAACAGAGTTGTGCAGAGATGCTCAGTTTCACTGTCAGGCACCAGGCAGCAGCAGTGTTGCAGAGAGGAGAAAGCTCACCCAACTGCTGACTCTTAAGTGGTACATACTTGTATTTATAGTGATGTATTCCTTTATATTTGTACCTGTCTGAATCTGCAACTAATCCATTGTCTTTGTGATTAAAAATGTGGCTGCTTTGATCTGAAACAATAATATCAATGTAATAAACTTATAATACATCCCATTTAACTAACTAACTAGCTAGATGGCTTACCGAACCCGAAGGTTCGTCACCGAATTAACCGAAGCCCTCCACCAGACCCTGTCCTGGGCCAACAAAATCCAGTCTCCTTCAACTCCTATCTCCCTTAGATCCCGCCTGAGATTATCCTCCCATCTACGTCTAGGTCTCCCCAGAGGTCTCTTAACCTCAGGCTTCTCAACCAGTACCTGGTGCACACATCCCATTTAAGATTTACAAAACATTATTTAGATTATTTTTAGCAGACTGTCATTTAAATAACAAATTAATTTCGTTCTGATGATGAAACAAACATTTTATTGAGACCTCCGTTGTTAAACGATATAATACCGTGGTGAAGACATATCTTTATTCTGCAATGAAGTATCGTAGCCCATTTTAAGCTGGGTTGTTATTTGAAACATCTGGTACCTAATTGAGCTCTGGGAATATTTTAAGTGCATGAAAAATTGAACTTGCATAGTGTGTGACCATCCTTGCCCTTGTCTGCTAGGTAGGATGAAGGTAGAAATCAAAATATTTTATGGGAGCACCCAATGGGCAAGATATCTGTTCTGTTCCTAAAGACAGAATGATAATGAAGATGTGACGTACTGCTTAACAAAGAATTCAGATGATGGTGAGGATTGGTATTTCTCAGGCTTTTACTTTGCACAAAGTTTAACTTTATCAGCTGTAAGGAAAAGTTTACAAAAAAATCCACATTGGATCCATCTGCTTTAGGAAACATTGCCTTACCGCTAGGTATTCCAACATTTATGACAGTGAAAATATTAATTTACATAACTTGGAAGTGCAATATGGATCTCGCTCACCCTTATATTCATGGTTATTTCCACCCTGGAATTGATTCACAGGGCCCTGGTACGTGGCTGCGTGGGGCAACTGTTGTTGCTGGTAACTTTGCCACTGAAGGTTGTTGCTGTTGCTACCACCACCGTATTGCGACCCCTCGCCTTCTCTCCCATACAATTTATTTCCCTGTACCTGTGACTGCTGTTGACTGTTTTGGGATATAGGAAATAACTTTTGATTATTGCTGAGATTAATGCCATCATTGCTGGGTTGAATTCCTGGAAGTGAAAAGGGAACATCTAATGAGATGATAGAAATATGCACATAGTAACATGTCTATGATTTCACTAAGGTGCTGGCGGGTAGCTCAGTCAGTATAGAAACTGGCTTCGCGGTCAGGGTTCGGTCCCCGACTGAGGCAGACGATTTTCTTCTAACCCCTGTGCCCAGACAGGTTCTGGGGCCCACCCATCCTCCTGACCAATGGATACCGAGTCCTTTCTCAGGGGTAAAGTGCGGCTGGGGTGTGCTACTGACCACTCACCCCCTTCTATTGCGGAAGTTGGGAATGAGGAGCTGTACCTCCTCTCCCCTAATTTTCAACATGTAATGGGATGGCTTTTACTGGCAGTATGTATTGTAAAAAAGATAAATTATAGAACAGTGTATTTTACTACTTTGAGCATCATTTCTGAGGGATAATTTTTATATATTGTAATAGTCATAAGCTCACTTAATGAAACATACATGTAGACTGCTCATTTTCACATAACTGTATTATCTTAAGGTAAAGAATTCATTTATATAATCAAATAATTGTCTCACGTAATTGAATATCAAACCAAACCAACTTGGATACTATTTTGTGAAGAATTGCGTACCTCCATATTGCTGCTGTTGCTGAGCTTGTTGCCAGCGTGGATCCTGCCTGTACAGTGGTGCAGCACCGCTGTACGCTGGCAGTTGCTGATTGTTTATTGCAGATTTAATCATCTCTTGCTGTTGGTGCGGCATGTTGTTGTACGTGGGAATCGCCGAGAGTGGCCCACTTCCACCTGACTCTTTGTCACTTAGTGCTGACACGGTTGGCAGCGATGGAGGTGGTTGCGTAGTTCCTGTAACGCCGTCTATCAGTGTCCTACCTTTTAACGACATTGCTAAATCAACATTTTTAGCCTGATTTGTTACTAAAATGAATGAAAGAAAATATGAATACATGTTTTGTTACAGTTAATGTTTAAAGCGACATTAAATTTTGTAGATCAATTACGTTGCTTCAGATAAACTTAAAAGTACAGGACCCAAACGTAATTTGTAATTGCCCTGTTTAAGTTTATACATTATAATTAATTGCACAGATATTTACATTGTATCATAACGTTTGAAATATGATAACAGGGCACACAAATGTTAAATTTGCAGGTAGCTGAAAAACCACAGAGTACTTAGTTTCACTTGCCTAATTAACAAAAATGTCACCAGTATTAGTAGTGAAATTGTTACTGCAGGTACAATCATGAATTTACATACATTATTAAATAAAATAAAAAAAATATTAATTACTGCATTCCACAACTTCAGGTACAAAATATGATTAAAAGTTACAGGACTGCCGGTGATTACATAAGTAACAGATAAAAATATAAGTGACAGAATACTTGAAGAAAGACAGTTAAATAAAACTGGAATAAATTATGATACCTGTGTCAAACATCTTGACAGGAACGATGAAATAGTTTTAATCATGAAACTATAGGAAAGAATACAAACGTTGTGTGTTCGTTACATGTGTCGGAAATATCAGTTTCTACATTTCTTCAATTCCGAAAACTGGCGTAGCTCATGTGGTCTGCCATTGCAGTTTTGTTTTCATGTTTGTGGTCTGACAAGTAACTAAATTGATTTTATAAAAACTATATATCTTTAATTGATCTTTAGAGAGTATGGCGGTCATGAAAACTAGCAATGGCTGGGGGTTCGTCGTGCTGACCACACGTCACCCTGTATCTGGTTGGATGATCGTTCACCTCTGCTTAGGCATGTGAACGTGAGGCCAGCAGTCAAGCTAGTCGGCTTTGGCTCTCTGGAGCTGTTACGCCACGGATTTAATTTTTTCATTGACCATTTATTATGATTGTCATTCTTTTTTTCTGGGTTCCAGAAATTCAGGATTTTTTTCTGGGCCATGCAGGAAGAATCACATGTCATCTGCAGTCATTGTTTTTTTAAAGGATGGGATTTTTGTAGATCAGTTCTTGAAGTTGTCGGACAGCCAGTCTCTTATCTGTCTCCGCTTCCATTCTGATATAAGTAAACCTGTGTGTTGTATTAATTGTTCACTTTCAAGCAATCTGCTATAATATTGTATAAATGTGTCTGATATTTTTCTGCGGTTCCGCTAAAGTTTAATGTTGATTGTCTGTTCCAACAACCTGAAACCTAGGTTCTTTTTACAAGGAAACAAAACCAACTGAATTACACGCGTCTGACACAAGATTTTGCAGTCGTATGAAGCAATGCAAAATCTTCAATCTGTTTAGTTAATTGTGAGAACTTTGTTCCTTGCAATCCGAGTGCCTTAGAGGGAATGCAGTTGTGTTCTGAATATTATAAATTGTAAACTGTAAATATAGATTATACTCACTTCCTTCCATGTGTGATATATCTCGATAGAATTATTTTTCTAAGCGCGAGTTTAAAAGGGTTAGTTACCTAAGTCTGGACAGTCCAGCTCCAGTGCTTCGTCACTTCCATCCGCACACTGTGGAATGCCGTCGCAAGCGTTGTAGATGGCGATGCATTCTCCAGAACTGTGGCATTCGAACTGGTACCGACTGCAGCGACGGCCTGAAATGCAGTGACTTTTATTTTACACTGTCAGTCAAGGGTTTTTTACACCATTTTGTATAAAATATTTCCAATTTTTGTCATCTTATCAGGCTATTTGTTTATTTTTAGGTTCAAAGCACCAAGTTTATTAACGTGTAACTTTCCTAATTTATTTATATGAATTCTAATAAACTCTCAACTGGGATTGGTCTTAGGAATTGGTGAGTGGGGCATTTACCCAGGGTACCACACTGAAGGGGGTTTCAAACCAAGATCAGTATTTTGACCTTAATTTATACTTTGCTTTAACAATGATGGTTTAACGTAGTGGCCACGCGGTCTGAGGCGTGGCCCTTGTGCTGCTTGGTCGATGGGATCGTGGGTTCGAATCCCACTCAAGCCATGGGTGTTTTTCTGTGTTGTCCTGCCCTGAGTACAGGTAGAGGCCTTGCGACAGGCCGATCCCTCGTCTAAGGAATCCTACCAAATGTCTAATAGATCAAGCCAACGAAAACTTGGGACCTGCAGTGCTCAGGAACTTGAAGAACGGGTCGTTCCCAGTATCCCAGTACGTTTAAGATTAATTTTTCATTCCTCCCAAATACACGTGAATTTCATTTAACACATTTTCACTGTATTTAATTGGAACTTAAAACAGCAGTGCAGAAGTGTCAATCTGATATGCATACAAAACTTAAAAAATTGTTAAACTGGAACATATGGGGCTACATATCGTGTAAAATCTTAGAACTGAGTCAGGCTGCTTGAAGCATCAGAAAGGATTGCTTGAACCAAGGAATGTGCGCGCATGCGCGTGTGGTTGGGTGCGTGTGTCCCATTATGACTTGAAAGAGTTTACCGATTTTTCACAGAATTTAATATGAAATGGGAGGAAAATCCTACCGCAAACGTTTTAATTCCATTCAACTGTTTTGGCTGACGCATTATCACACGTGTGTGTGAAAGAATTAATAATATATGACAGAAATATGCATTTTTTGCAGATTGGCAGAACAATGTAGCAGTCAAACTTTGAGAGATGAATTACTGGCATTGGGCGTGTAAAATTTTAATGACGAAAGATCACAAAGAAACCTAAAAACTGTTCATGGAGCGTTGTGTGGTAATTCAACAGTTACAAACATAGGACATTGCGAAATTTTGAGGTTAAAGGACGCTGCTGAGCGATCGGAAGTGACGTCATCTATGAGACACGGCATGCATGAGACAGGTGGAGAAATGAGAACGGATGCCAAAAACAATGACGGATCGTAAGGGAATAGCGGTGTTGACGCGTTTGAAAAACTGCTGACAAGGAAGTAAACAGATATTGTAGGCCCACTGTACAATAGGTAACGCTGTTTTCGGTATGAAAAGGGCAGGGCTGAATGAAGACGGCAAGAAACTTTATTTATTTTTGTATTCTTTCTCACTCTGGTCGTAACTGTACTTTGTGAGGAAAGGAGCGGCCGGAGTTGTGCAAGTCAAGGTCAAACATGACTCGAAGTCCCCCTGAGGCCGTCTGTACAGCGCTCCATTCGGTCATACGCCAACGTTGAGGTGTTTGTTTTGTTTGTAGGCTGGTACTGGAGTTTTTTTTTCTCGCAGTTTGTACGATGACCCAAGTACTGTGTTGGCGGAAGCTGTTTGAACCGTCTAATATCAGGTTTATTTAATTTCCAAACACGTCTCTGATGAGTGGCTAACGCCCGTGCGTCGTGTTCGGAAAGTCTCGAGATGTAATCTTGGCTGTCCTGATTAATTATTGAAAGGCGATTTAAAAAGGCAGTGGTTACAGCGAAACTTTACTAGCAGAAAACACACTTCAAAATGTGCAGTCTCTAAGTAAGTAAGACCTTTTTGTTGTCCTGAAACTTCTTCTAGAATTACGTCTCGCAACCTCCATGTTATCTCGGTTAATTTCGTTTTGGTTCTGTAAACCATTTCAATTTAGTCTGCTTTCTTCTGTCTAATAACTTTCCTCTTTTTTAGAAAATAGTATACACTGTCTTTGGTTAAAATTTTTATGCTCTGTTATTTTACCAAGCCTTGTTGATGTCCATATTATCGCCAAGGTTTTTCAAACTTGCACACCTGAGATTCTGAACTGACTCTGTTTCTTAACTTCTGCGTCGTTTATTTTCTAGATATCAAACATTGTTGCCTCTACCCAAATTTTGCAGCCAACAAGTAGTGTTCAGTTTAACAGTCGGTCTCCAAAGGACGAGAAACCAATTGTATTTGATTTTCATCTGTCTGTGAAGACGTCATCAGTCAGTCTACTCGTATTTCCGGGATTAACTGGGTGTCTGGGAAGGGGAAACAGAGTATGGTTATATTAATGGGTATATCTCATCTGAAAAGTCAACGTAGAAGACCCAGAAAGAGGTGGGAAGGTAACATCAGAGTGAATCTTAGAGCGATTACATTGCGAAGATGGGAGATGATGCAGATAACCTCAAAATCGTATCCAGCAGAGCGGAAGCTACTTCCCTCTGTCGGAGCTGAAATGAACGAGGCGTTACGTTTTGAGCAGGCATTTGTTTAATGCGAGCTCGTCAGGCAGAGACTGACAGCTAATTTTTATAGGGGCGGTGCTCGGACTTTCGAAAACGCTGTGGCCAGTAGACGTCACTGAGCCGTGTTCTTGACGTGCGGAAGATACACGATGGCAGCTACTGAACTCCACAGTTTACATTCCAGAATTAATGGGTTTTAATATTATTCGTCAAACAATTATTGCATGAAGAATTTAAGTATTGTCCTAGTATTTTGTGGAGGTCACAGAAATTCTGTGCGAGTTCTTTTACAAACTAGGGGAATGTTTCCTAAAAATCGTTCTTGGTTCTTGTCGCATTTATTGAGTTTATAGAGCACAGTGTCAAATGAAAATGTACCCGTACGTCACGTTTACGAACGGAGCACAACAATTACAGACAGTATGCCTGCTGATTCACTGCATTTCTGTAACCTAACCGTGATCGTAGGGAACTTTGTAAGAAATACGTCAGTGTGAACAGAATAGTATTTTACAGCAACAGAAGGTTTTCCAGAGACAAAACATAAAGCCCACTCTCGTCTCACACCGATTGTTAACTATGCTGTTAAAACTATATTTATATTTAGGTGATAAAATGCATTGTAGCATAGACGTCAGCGGTATGGACTTGTCCGCAGATGGTCCTGTTCGACCCCGGCCACAATTTTGTTATGTAAGATGTGAAGTTTTCACGCCGACAAGTACAATGAATTCTTCTAGGGCTACCAGCCGTACCCTGAGGACGAGAAGATGGTTCTCGAAACATTGGTGTTTTCTCCATTAAAATACCTGAAACGGCTGGTAGCCCGAGAAGAATTCATTACACATTTTTGTTAGTTTGCAATTATAAATGCTTTATATAATGTTATTTCTATTGTTACTGCTTGTTATCAGATATTCTTTCGTAAGAACTTGGTATTTACCTACAGATTTTGTCAATAAATTTGTCGGGTATAACCTCAAAGATACGCACAGTCTTTAACGTACAAATAATACGTTGTGAGCAGTTTGTAGCTAATTTTATGGCCTGTCACTGTCCAGAATAATTCAGATGTTCCAGCTTTAAGGCTTAATTAGCTAAATATGACCCAGAAAGGCAAAATATGACCTAATTAGTTATGAAAAAATATTCGCTAAAATTTAAAAAAAACGTTTTGCATTTTAATCATGTTATTTATTTACATATGCATGTACAACTATTACATTACTTGATTTCCTAACAATTTTAATCAAAAACCTCAGTCGCTTTAAGTTGTAAATGCCTCGTTTTGGATCAGAATCAGATGTTGAGAATACGTGTTCCTATAAAAATAAGATGAATTTTAAGATTTCAGATTCATTAATTACAAATAAATAAATGAACAAAATTCAAAATATTAAGTACCTCTCTTCATTCTCCTTTCTTGGCAGCGTTACAATATATAAGGATTTGCATTTTGCTTGCTTTGATGACTGGTTTGTGGGCTCAAATTATTTTTATATTTTGCCATATCACAATGTTGTTGAACATTAAATCGCTTACCAGCTGTAACTTTAACTTCACAAAGTTTACAGAGCAGAATTGTACCATCAGAACTAAAATATCCCTCGCCAAAATCTTTAACGAAACTTCTTAACTTCGCACTTTCAGAACTTCACTTTTGACATCTTAACTAACTGAAGGATTCGCTGTAAATGTCTGAGAAATGTAGTTACAAGTAAGAATTATATACCCAAAATATAACCAAAAATATTAACCCTTTGAAACCAAAGCTCGTCTAAATATTATTTAATAAATCAGCCCGTACCGCGAAGAAAACACAACGCTTCACCATTACTACGATCAACTGGTTGACGCTGTTTAAGGAAATAATCCCTTTTTACACTAAAAACAATCCGAAACCTATACATACAAACGCAGATTTATTAACTGTATAAAGCAGGTGGTACATATAGTTACCACTGTTTTCGCGTGCGTCGTCTTATTATTACTGACTAGCAAATTAAAACGTGTACTGTTTCGGTAACGTCCATTAGCATAACGTATTAACAGATTTATTGAAAATTAATCAACTGCTTAAGTTGTTAAGAAGGGCATATAAACAAACAGACAGCAAGATTATTTTATGAAGACGTCGAAACATGCGGGCTGTAAGCCACTTGTAACATAATCTGACGCTTTTAAACCTAATGAGTTGGGGAAACATTATTAAATAAAGTAACAAACTGTAATCGTGATGTATGGAATTAGCAACGAATAAGTCATCTTCTGCCATCATCCTGGTGTTGCAATAACGGATTATTGTTGATTCTAAATTTTGAAAAATAACTGTGAATGTACAAATTATTTTAAACCAAGGCGAGATTTTAAAAAAAAATCTAAATTTTTTTCTCAAATATCAGCCGTTTATGAGATATTTGACACTTATAATGCTTGAGAGGTCTTTCAGTATCAGCTTTAATTTCTCGCATTCATTTGTCAAAGTGTTCTTCAGCAAGA